GATCCTGAGAGGAGAATGGAGGAGAAGGGATTGCAGCATGGCCTTCCCCCCTGGGGGGTGATTTCTTGCTTTCTGTCTCTCTGTCTCTCTCTGTCTGTCTGGCAAGTACACACGCCCTATAGCAAAAACCCCTAAAAAAAAAAAAAAAAGAAAGAAAGAAAGCCTCTAGGTCCAGGACTCGAACCACGGTCAGCCACGTGGGAATCCAGCACCCTTAACCACCACACCAACTGCAGGCCCCAATTTTATTTATTATTATTATTATTATTGTTTAATTTGACCAGAGAGAGAGAGAGAGGAAAGTGAAAAAGCAAACAACCAGGTCCAGGACTGGAAGTGTGGTCGGCTATGTGGAAGTCCAGCACCTCAACCACCACAGCACCTGCTGGCCTAACAGCATTGTTTCTAATAACCAAAGGTGGAAATCCAAATGTCCATCAATGGATGAATGGGTAAACAAACTATGGTGTATGTATAAAATGGGAGTATTATTATTTTTTTTGAGAGAGATTTTCACTGTAGGGCGCGTGCGCTCGCCAGACAGACAGAGAGAGACATAGAGACAGAAAGCGAGAAATCACCCCCCAGGGGGGATGGTCACGCCGCAATCCCTTCTCTTCCATTCTCCTCTCGGGATCTTGGGCACGCACGCACACGCGCCCGGCGTGAGTTTTAAGCCACCGGGTCTGGGACACGAACCGCGGTCGACTACGTGGGAGTCCAGTGACATAGCCATTACGCTAACTGCTGGTTCCCTAAAATGGGAGAATTATTTTTAATTATTTTTATTATTATTATTATTTGGCCATAAGGATGGAGAGCTAGGACCAGCAGATGGCATAATGGCTATGTCACTGGACTCCCACGTAGTCGACCGCGGTTCGTGTCCCAGACCCGGTGGCTTAAAACTCACGCCGGGCGCGTGTGCGTGCGTGCCCAAGATCCCGAGAGGAGAATGGAAGAGAAGGGATTGCGGCGTGACCATCCCCCCTGGGGGGTGATTTCTTGCTTTCTGTCTGTCTTTCTGGCAATAGCACACACCCTATACCAAAAACCTCAAAAATAATTAAAAAAAAGAAAAAAAGAAAGGATGGAGAACTGTAACATACTGCACATGAATGAACTTTAAAAACATTTGGCTGAGTGAAAGAAGCTAAACATAAAAGGGCACATATTGGGGCCAGCTCTGTGGCCTAGTGGTTAAGTCAGCCAGATCCCACATGGCTGACCATGAAGTTTGAATTCTAACTCTAGTGGCCTGAAAAACATGCTAGGCATGTGCATATGCCTCAAATCCTGATAAGAGAGAGAAATGAGAGAAGGGATTGTGGCATGACCAAGTCCTATTGTGGGGTACTCTCTCCCTTTCCCTCTCTCTCTTTGGGGAGTATATGTACCCTTTGACAAAAAAATTAATCAGAAAACTCTTGTAGATATTTCAGAGAAAGGAAAGCACAGTGGTTGGAAGATCAGTAGATTATCCCTAGGATCTAAGCAAGGGAGCCCTGGCAAAAACAAGGAAATAAATGGCTGGGTAGGGGATTGGCAGAAGAGAAATGAGAGATTGGGATTAAAAATCTTTCCTGTGACTGCTAAGAATGGAGAAATGGTCTTTTTTCTTTCTTTCAAAGGCATGGTTTACTTACCAAACTATACTTGAGAGTTGTGTCCACCAGTTTCAGGGAAGGGCTTTTCCCTGATTTATCATACTGACTAGCTGGTATGTAACTTCTTCCCCTTGTATTATTAAGCCTGTTTCCACCAGGGTGACCAATGACCTGTAGTCTAGCTGCCTGACACAGTAGACTTTTCAACTTTCTATTTGATCTCAGTAACACTAGGGATTGCTGGCTGTTAGTAAGTTGAAGTCTTCTCTTAGCTATCTACCATAGCAGCGAACACTGTCACTTCACAAACACTGCTTCTCAGCTTCGCTTCTTCCTCTACCAGCTAAAAGCAGGTGCTATGCCATTGTTTTAATATATGTCCTTCTTTCGGTGGTCCCATCTCTGCCTGTCCTGAGTACTCTCAAACCTCAAAACCCAGGTCTGACCCTTTTTTCTCCATACCTCTTCCCGTATCTTTTGATAGACGTCATGCCAGTATCTCAAACATGACACTAGAGGGGTGATGTGCACAGAGGGCGTGGGAGACATACATGAAAGAAGAGCACTAGATTCATACCAGTTCTAGCTTCAAGTCAGGAATAATCAATGGGACAAGCAGGTTTTACAAAAGGCAGCACAGGTTGGGAAACGAGGAAGGCTTCCACAGAGCTGAAGTGTAAGGGTTGTTCAAGGGCAAAAGGAGACACAGCACCACCTGGGTAGCATGTTCCATGATGCCTGGGCTTGTCTTTTCCGTCTTCTCTGATGTCAGCCCAAACATAGGAATTTAGTAAAATTTGTTGCTTGGTAAAGAAAAATAGCAGGTGGGATAATATAAGTAACTTGAGAAGAGGTGGGGGCAGTGAATTCAGTAAATTTCAGTCACTTCTCAAAGGTTCTCAGGTACATCTCAGGCCTGCCTAAGATGACTGACCCTAACTGTACCTGGTGAGAGGAGAGACCAGCCCTCCCTCTAGTCCCTATAAAACAGTGGGGGCTCCCTCTCATCACAGATACACATATTTATATTGTTATTTTATTCCACTTTGGAGACCACTCCCAAGTCCTTCAGACACATCCACATCAGAAGTTAGGGATCAGGCTCCACTGAATCGGAAGTATAAATAAGGAAGTCCCAGAAGCCAGCAGCCTGTTAAGCCAGCAGCATGGTGGCTGGAGGTATAGCTGAGCCTCTCCTGCAGATCATCCAGCACCTGTACAAGCCAGGCTAGACTGTTCTCCAGCTCTCTCTATAGCCCAGTACTGGCAACCACAGCCTATGCTACCTCTGCTTGGCCAGAACTAGCTGCCTGAACCAAGAGCTCACGGCACCATCCACTCGCATCACCAAAGCTATGCCCAGGAGAAGTCCCACGCTGCTCACAATGAAGCCCATGGCCTCGAAAATGAACCTGCAAAGAAAAGGTGGAGAAACTCAGGGAACAGCGAGTAGGCCTAATGCCTTTTCCTTGTAGAGGCAACAGCTTGTCCACCCCGGATAGTCATACCTTATCCCAAGTTTCTCCCTCCCACCACCTCTGCTCCTCAAGCAAATCCACTCACTTGGGGGCAAACACCTTCCAGACCATGAGATGCCTGCGAAGGATGGAGGCTGCCAAGGCACAGGCCAGAATCTAAGGGAGAAGAGGAAGGGTCAAATTACATGGGAAGTGGAAGAAATAAGACAAAGGGAGAGCTGCTCTCGGCTGAAAAATGAAAAGAAGAGGTAACATGTGTGTATCAGTGGAAAAAACCCTAGGCTAGGAGTTAAGAAACAAGCTCTGCCTCCCACTGTAGAGGAAGACTCAGGACCACATCCTCCTCTGGTGGAAGGGAGGAGGATCCATGACCACATTTTGGAAGAGAATCCTGGCCATCACTTCAGCTTTTCCAGTGTCTGGTTATGAAGTAATCTCCAAATGCAGATAGTAGGGTCCAGAGTTAGGCTGTAAAGAGGAAATGATCCAGGACTATGACTAAGGAGATCAGATTCAAGTTTCAAAATTGCTATTTGAGCCACTAGCCATGGGCAACCACTTCTGGTTATTAGTAGAATCTCTTGCAGGTTTTCTGAAAGTATAAAAGAATGTAATACATGCACATAAGGAAAGGTCACTGACTCTCTGATTGCTCCTCTGCACCCACCTGAACACCGAGGACAAAGAGGTACTTAAGGCCCAGCTGCAGCAGTGCTGCATTGAAGTGGTGAGGTGCATCCCGGAGTCGCATCTCCATCAGTGGTTCCTCTTCTTCTTCAGGCCTGACTCTGGCCTCTACTTCTTTTCCAGGGGACTGCTGCCTCTTCTTCAGCCCTTGACTCTCACACAGGAAGGGCCAGAGTAGGAGGAGGGGGCAACCTACTGCCTCGGGGGAGGACAGGGATGGAATCAACAGTGGACTCTGGGACCAGTCCACCCTGGTCCCCAACCACCCTAGTTAGCTAAGGCTTCAATTGGCCTAGGCCAAAGGGTGCCAATGATTCAACAAAACCGTATCTCCCCACTCAAATGCAGGGGTTTCCTTCCTTTCCACAAAATCAGAGTAAATAATGGAAAAGAGTGGAATGAGGAGGTACCTGCAAAGAGGAGGTGGGATGCAAAGGTGTTGGCTCCCACTAGCAAAGCAGGCAGCCAGGTAGAGGAGCCATGACCTTCTGGGAATCCCACAAAGGCTGCATGCCAATGGATGGCTGGAAAGACAGGCTGGTGACCCGTGGAATAGAAGGTCTGTGTGGCCATGAGGGCCCAAGCTGAGACTGCCTGCCACGGCACAGTAAAAGGACCTAGAGAAAAAGATATGCCTCTTAATAGTCTGATCTGATTCTCTAATCCACAGCCTAGTATTCCATGATCACATATTCCCACTACTTCAGTGCTAGTTTTCATACATGCCCACTACTCCAACATCCTTATAGCAACACTGTTATTCTGATTTCCTCAGTGGCAGAAAGCCACACCACCCTTATCTGAACCCCACTGTGCTCAATCTTTCTCTCTCATATACACAGAGCTCACAACATTATGTATTCATAAACCAGCGCTTTCTTTACTAGAAATTCAGGGAATGTGCTCATAAGGAAGCAATATTTCACAAGAAATGAACTGTCTCTTCAATCTATGAACCCAACAGCCAACAAGAGGGATCTGTTCAGTTGGCTATGACAGGTGAGAGAACATTGGGAAGGTGGGGCATGAGACCCTGTGTGAGGGTGAGGAACATGAGGAGCCACACCTCCTGAAAACAAGAGAAGCTAAACTCATACTGTCCCTTAGATGAGTGAGGGCTGAGAGCTGCATTTACCAGAGGCGGTGATGGGTATCCCAGCAGCAAGCAGATGCAGGAGAAGGAAGCTCTGCAGAAACAGAAGCAGGAACACAAGGCTGATGCGCTCTGCATGCAATAGCAGAAGTGGGAAGGCCAACAGGGTGAGGGCTGTGACCATAGCAGCTGAGTAGACACTCCCCAACTGATAGGCAGCCACGGTCAGGGGACCCTGAGGTTTGGTCTTCTCTAGTCGGCCTCGGAACTCTTCTTGCATGTGTCGGTAGATTTGAGGGACCACATAATCGAGGTCAGCCTGAGAAGTGGGGGGGCCTGAGAAGGGAGTCAGGACAGTCCTGGTCCTTGATGTACCTGCCCCAGCCTTTACCAACACAGTCACAGGCCTCCAGAGGAGCAGCATGAGCCCAGAGGCAGCCAGCCCTGCTACAGCCCGAGGCAGTACAACTGACGCCCCAGCAACCAGGGCCCGGAGACGTGGCGGTGCTTCATCTGCCCCTGATGCCAAAGCCCAGTAGGCAGCAGTACTAAGTGCCATTAGAGGCAGCCCCCAGCGTACAAAGAGCACAGGGGGCTCAGGACTCTTCAGATTACCATAGCGATGAAGCCACAGACGCACAGCAGCTAAGAGGGCCACCAGTGACCCCACACAAGCTCCATACCACAAATTCTTGGCTCGACCACCAACCATGGATGCCAGAGGACTCAGCCAGGGAGAGGAATGGCAAGCAGGTGTCTCTTCAGGGCAGCGATGAAAAAGCCCAGCTAACCTGGTACATAAAAGCAACCCGACTCCAAGCCTCAGGGCATATGTGCCACTGTGCCGTGGGGAGCCTACTGGGGCTGAAGAGCCAAGGCGGGGTACTGTGAGCAGTTTAGGTGGCAGCAGCTGGCCCTCCCAATGAAGCTGGGCAACCAGGAGCAAGATGAGTGAGCCCAAAAGGAAGGGGGTGGCCCTGGCCTCAGCTACAACAAAACTATCAGAGAAGAAGGCAGCTAAGCGGATTAGTAGGAGTAATAGAACAGGACCAGGGATGGGAAGCAGGGTTGCTAAGGGCCTTCTGGACCCCCAGCCAGCCCAGGCTTTCCATAGAAAAGCCAGGAGGGAGCCTACTGCAGCCACAGCCCCTAGGACTACTGAATCTAGCTTAAGCCCATTAACTGACAGGAGTCCAGCACACACTATGGCCCCAGCTAGGCCCCAGACCACGGGGATCAGGAGTAGAGGGCAGAAAGGGAAGCCTGGGGATGTTGCCCACTGGGATGTCAGCAGGCAGAGAAAGCAGGCAGCAGCCAAGAGAGCAACACCCCCTGCCATGCGGACCAGAGAGAAACGAGCCCAAGACTTGATGCACATGGCCCGAGCACCCCGCAGGAACTGCTGTAGCTCAGCAATCACAGTCCGCAGTGTCACATCAGTCCTGTGGGGGTTCTGCAGAAGCCACTGGTAATCAGCAGAGGCCTTGGAGAAGAGCTTCTGCAGTTGATGAAGCTCCTTAACATGGAGGTCCTGGGTAGCAGCTGAGTATGTGTGGAGAAATCGGGACACCTGGAGGAAAAAGCCAAGGGGCGTTAAGAGATATATTAGGTAGTCAGAGAAGTCATGATGCTTTTTTCAATTTGATTTTTTTTAGAGGTTTTTGCCTTAGTGCGCATGTGCTAGCTGGAAAGAGAGAGAAACAAACATCTTGAGAGAGAAAATGAGAAATCATTCCCCAGGGAAGATGGGCATGCCACAGTCCCTTCTCCTCCAATCTCCTCCTGGGATTTGAACTGCTGTCAGCCTTGCAAAAGTTCAGCAATGTAACAGCTATGCCATCTGCTGGTCCCATCATGGTGTACTTTTACATAGACAACTACGTCATGACTTCTGATGACCCAGTAAATCAGGGCAGAGGCAAGGACAGGTATTACAAAAGCAGGTACCTGGAAATTAGGGGCACAAACTCTGGGATGAGGGAAGGGAGAGATAATGAAAGCCAGACATGGTTATCAAAGGTAAGATTAAAACTGGACAAAGAATGGGACCAGCAAGTGGCATGAAGGTTAAGGTGCTGGACTCCTACATAGCTGACCACGATCCAAGTCCCAGATCTGGCGGCTTAAAAATCACACCAGGGGGAACCAGCAGTTAGCGTAATGGTTATGTCTCTGGACTCCCATGTAGTCGACTGTGGTTCGCGTACCGGACCCGGTGGCTTAAAAATCACGCCGGGCGCGTGTGCGTGCCTGCCCAGGATCCCGAGAGGAGAATGGAAGAGAAGGGATTGCAGCGTGACCATCCCCCCTGGGGAGTGATTTCTCGCTTTCTGTCTCTATGTCTCTCTCTGTCTGTCTGGAGAGTGCACACACCCTATAGCGAAAAACCTCTCCCCCCCCCAAAAAAAAAATCACACCAGGCACGTGTGTGTACACGCCCAAAATCTTAGAAGGTAAAGGAATTACAGTGCGGCCATCCCCTTTGGAGGGTGATTTTTCATTTTCTCTTACTATATCTCTCTGACTCTCTCTGGTGAGTGCATGTGCCTTATGGCAAAAAAAATTTAAAATTTAAAAAAAAAAAAGACTGGGCAAAGGACAACGGAGTGGCCATTATGCTTTTCTCATGCCTATCCTATCTCTGTCACCTGTAAGTCTAGTCCCTTTACCTACCTGCTGGGCATTAAGATGGAGAGCTGAGGCCTGGGCTAGGGCAGAAGGATGAGGCTGGGAGTCTTTGTCCCCTGAGAACAGCTCGGCTATCACTTCCCCGATGTTCCCAAATGGGATAGGCAGGCCTAGCAGCAGGGCCAGTGTGGGCACAAGGCTGACTTGAGGAATCACCTCTGGCTCCTAGAGGGAAAGAACAGGGATCAATGGATTCATCACAAAGCTGAAGTCAGTGTTTAGAATTAAAGACACAGGGGCTTAGGTAGGAGAGGAGAGTGGGGAATACACAGGATCACACAGGTCTGGGGACCTAGCGAGGGCCCCGTGAGGATGCTGTGATCATGATTTGTACTGAACACTGGGAGACCTGACGAGGCAAATCCCCGGCCTCACCTCTGGTGGGGTGCTGGGGAAGAGGGGTGTAGAGCTGTATAGAAAGAGTGCAGCCGAGACCTCCAGCTCACTGTCCCCTCCATGGTCCCCATTCATGGTCATCCCGTGGTCCCCTGCCACCACCAGCAGTGTGTCATTCTCCAGGCGCTCCATAAGTCCCCTGGGAGCCAAAAAATGTGTCAGGGGCAGGGAATCGATAATGATTTTTCTCAGGGGCCCATTCATCCCAGCTTTGATTTCCACTAGTGGGTCTAGATCTCTGGCAAAGAGACACTTCAAACATGATCCTACAGCTCAAAGCTACACACTGAATTATGAAATGGATGAGGCCCCTTGCTTCAGAAAAAGGCCTGCTGATGCAGAATTCAGCTAGGAAAGAGGCTCTACATAAGGACTTCTTATCCTGGGACCACATATGTTGAGATTTTCAGACACAAACCCACTCCCCCAAGCCAAGAGCCCACACTCACTGGATCACCTGGTCCACTTGGCTAAGTTTCTTGGCCATTTCAGGGTGGTGAGGGCCATGCTTGTGGCCACAGTGATCCACACCCAGGAAGTGAGCAATCAGCACGTCCCATTCACCACTGTCCACTGTGAAGGGGAGAACACTGAGCACAGGGGACTAAGGCCCACTCCTTAACCCCAGCCAGGCTTTGAGATTCTTTTTTGTCCAGGGACACAAGTCCAGGCCATCACGCCCATGTGAGGCTCAGAATCTGTGGACTAAAGCTACCCTCCCCACCTCCAGGTCTTAGTCAGGGACTAATTGCTCTGGCCCCATGCTCACTGGTGGGGTAGAGGTGCTCCAAGATGCCATTGTCCACTGTATGTAGGTCTCTGACGTTGAAGGATGAAAAGAAGAAAGCTTGGGAGAACGCTCCAGGGAAAAGGTCTTTCCAGGTATCATCTCCCATGAAGACTACACGCCTTCCTACAAGGATATGAGAAGGGGTCAGAGCCTGAGCAGGAAGGAGAGGAGACCCTTCAAGTACGCATCAGGTGCAGGCACTATAGTGCTTACTCCATACCGCTGCTTAGCAGGCATAGGCCCTATGGGAGGACCGGGTTTGATTTCCGGCTCACCCTGAAAAGCCAGGCACAGGGCCAGCAGGTGGCATAGAGGATAAGGCGTCTGGAATCCCACACAGCCAACTACATCACTCAAATCCTGGACCTGGCAGCCTGAACGACACACCAGATGCATGTGTGTGTGTGTGCCCAAAATCCCAAAAGGAGAATGAGGAATTGAGATGTGGTTATCCCCGTGGGGGTAATTTTTCACTTTCCCTGTCTCTCTCCAATGAACCCTACAGCAAAAAACTAAAAAGCCCAGACACAGCGGCATGCACCTGTAATACCAGCTACTTGGGAAATTGAGGCAGATTCCACATCCTGTCCAAAACATTATACACCCAAGTTTTTTTAAAAAAAAGAAAAAAAGACCCATCAGAAATAGCAATCATGCACCCTAAAGCCTAGCAATTCCATCCAGGAACTTCTTATTCTTCAAGGCCTAATGTTTTTAAACAGGACAATTCCCCTGATAACCATACTCCACTCAGAGCTCTCACTCCTCTGACAAAATGCTTCACTAGTTTTCAATCCCTGGGTATCTCTGCTAAACTCTTTCCTGAGCATATACTGCTTTTTACAGTCAGTGAGTGAGTCGGACCTGGATCCCTCCAATCTCTTCACATATGTAAGCTGAGACCTGTATCTTTTCCTCTTTCTCTCCCCAGCCCCTTTCCTGAGAGTGTCCAAAGAATAAAACCAACACTCCATGCTGATTAGAAGCTTCACAAAAACAAAGCCCAGATCCCCTCCCCTTTGTCTCCCAAACTAAGCTCCTTACACACAGGGCTCTGGTCCCCTTTTCCTTCCCTAAACCCTGACACAATAGTCAAGCTAGGTACACAAAGTTCTGGCTCCCTGACTTGTAAAGAAATTTGCCAAAGTACTCCTGGTCTGCAAAGGGGTCCAGACTGACCTGCACTGGTAAGCTGCTTAATGAGATTGTCTTCCACTATGGCATGGCTTGCAAAGTTACTGCCAGCATCAATAAAGGTAGGTAGTGAGCCAGTGGTGAGGGCCTTGAGGCGCTGCATGGTGGTGGTTGGGGGGTCAACCTGAGATCGGTAGAGACGGGCATGGTGGGGCTGAATTTCCAGAATCCTTTTCAAGGAGACTAGTTTGCCCAGAAAGGGTAGAGAGGCAGGTAGCTTTCCAGGCACATGTGAGCGCTGGGGCTGGGCAAAGTCAAATCGCAGAGCATCTATTAGTACCAACACAACCCGGGAGAATCGTGAAGCCATCCAGCAGGCCCCGGGCTTCCCTTGGCTCCCCCATGGCAGGGACCCAGGGCCTGGGAGCTCCTGGCAGCTGCTATGGTTTGTGAGTTCCAAACGGGTGAGCAGGAAGCCACTTGTGAAGAGGGCAATGCCGGCGTAGAAGAGGAAGCAGACCCAGCCCAGAAAGAGCAGCACTGAGATCTTCCGCATCCTGGTAGGGACAGGAGAGGGAACTCATCACTGTTGGACAAAGAACCAGAGAAAAGTTTTACTCCTCAATACAAAGCCCAACTAGAATCACAATCTCTTGGAAGCCTTTCTAGATATAAACAGTCATAGTCAATCCATTTCAAGGTTCGGCAGTTATACCAGTGTTTCTGAAGGCAAGGTCCCCAGACTATGGGCATCACCTGGGGCTGCTGTTAAAAAATACTATTTCCGGGACCAGCAGTTGACATAATGGCTATGTCGCTGGACTTTCATGTAGTCAAACGCAGTTCGAGTCCTGGACCCAGTGGCTTAAACTCATGCCAGGCGCGTGTGCACGTGTGCCCAAGATCCCAAGAGAATGGAGAAGGGATTGTGGTGTGGCCATCCCCCCTGTGGGGTGATTTCTCGCTTTCTGTCTGTCTGTCTGTCTGTCTCTCTGGCAAGCGCACACACCCTATAGCAAAAACCTCTAAAAAAAAACCCCTATTTTCAGGGCCTGCAGATGGCATGATAGTTAAGGGTGCTGGACTCCCACTCACATGGCCAACCATGGTTCGCATCCTGGACTTGCTTTCTCACTTGCTTGCTTTTCACTTTCTCTCATTCTGGTCAAATCAAAATAAATAAAGTTAAATAATTCTTTTTTAAAAAAATACTATTTCCAAGTCCCACCCCAGATCTACTGAATCAGGATTTTCGAGGGTGGAGCATAGGAATTTGTACATGCACACCGAGATCCTAATCCTGAAAAAACATAAATCTACCAGGGAAACATTCCAAGTGGTAGACTGCTCTCTGAAAGGCTGTTTCAAGCGACTTTCTTTTGCCAATCTTAACATCCAAGGAGAAGCCAGCCAGGACACCCAGCAACTGAGCAATCCCAGCCCTGCAGACGGCGCCTCCTGGCGGGGGCAGAGGGGGCGATGGGGAAGAGTCATGCTCTGCTTCCAGGCACCCAGCATCGCAAAGGGACCGAAGGATATGCCTGTCCGGCTTTGTAGGGTCTAGAGCCGGTTCGAACTCGCTAGGAGCCAGGCGTTCGTGCAGCTCCACTTCCCCTGGGGCCTACCCCACCTCCTGGGCACCTGGGCCCTGGTACTGAGCAGCCTTGGCTGCGAGCTAGTAGGGAGCACCCTTACTGAGAAGGGGAAGGTGTGAGGGGAAGCTCTCGAGAGACCCTGGCTCACCTGGAACGGCGCCCGGAAGTGCAGCAGCCGCGCCGCTGGCGGCCTGGGACCATAGAGAGCGCCAGACAGAGAGGCCTGCTGGGGCCTCCAGCGCCATCTGCTGGTACCTCGGTGGAAGTTTAGCAAGGAGCGTATCGTTGCGAAGAGTTTGATGGGAGATTTAGTAATTAGGCGGAATTGAGGGCAAGGGACTAAGCTAGAATTCAGGGAACCACTGTCCATTCTTAGTTAAGACTAAGAACACGGCCTCTGGAGTCAAACTTGTCTTGAATCTTAGCTCTGACACTTAATGTCTCTATTGGGCATTACCTCATTATTAAAATGGGAATAAATAATACTTATTTCCTCCCTTATTATGTAGCTGACTCCAACTGATAGGTTTCATTATTTCTTCTTTTAAAGCCTCTGAGTCCTTAAAAAAAATTACTGAGGCCGGCAGGTGGCGTGGTGGTTAAGGTCACTGGACTCCCACATGGCCCACCGTGGTTCAAGTCCTGGACTTGGCGTCTTGCTTGCTCACTTTTTCTTTCTCTCTCACTCTGTCCCTCTCTGGTCAAATTAAAAATAAATAAATACATAAATAAAGTTTAATAAAATAATTCTTTTTAAAAATTCATTAATTAACTTTTCTTTATTATTTATCTTTTAAATTGACCAAAGGGAGACAGAGAGAGAGAGTGAAAAAGCAAGCCACCAGGTCTGGCGCTTGAACCGCGACTGGCCATGTTGGGAGTCCAGCACCTCATCCACCATGCCACCTCTCTAACTGAATCTTACAACTCAATAATAGAAAAAGAAATAGTAGAGCCAGTTGGTATAGTGGTGAGGAAGGCAGCTGGATCCCACATGGTTGACAGCTCCCTTTGAGTCTTTTACCTGGAGGCTGGAAAACATACCCAGGTGCATGTTACATGCATGCCCAAAATTCAGAAAAGAGGAAGAAATGGAGACGGGATTGTGACATAACCATCCCCCATCCCCCATGGGAGAGTGCTTTTTCACTCTCCCTCCTCATGAGTGTATTTGTGCCCCTCTAGTAAATTAGACAAAAATAATAATAATAATAATAGTCCAATCTAAAAATGAACATAGGAGGGCCAGCAGTTGAGTAGAGGAAAGATGCTCACCATCATTAGCCTTTGGGGAAATGCTGGAGATATCATTTCAAACCCAGTAGTTTGGGTATAATAAAAAAGACAGCTAATTACAAGTATTGATAAGGGTGTGTAAAAATTGGTACACTTCATATGCTGCTGGTGGAATTGTAAGTGGTGTGGCAGCTTTGGAAAACAGACCTACAGTTCCTCAAAAGGTTAAACAAGAGTTACCATAGAACCTAGCAATTTCACTTGCAGTTATATACCCAAGAGTAATAAAAACAAAAAAATTGTACATGAATATTCATAGTAGTAGTGTCCTTAGTAGCTAAAAGCTGGAAACCCAAATACCCATCACTGATGAACTGATAATCAAAATGGTATATCCATACAATGAAATATTATATGTTTGAGGACAGGGTGATAAAAAATTTTTTAAAGAATTATTGATTTTATTTATTCATTCATTCATCTTAATTTGACCAGAGAAAGACACACAGATGGAAAGTGAGAAAGCAAGCCACCTGGTCCAGGACTTGAACCATAATCAGTGGGAATGTCCAGCACCTTAACCTGCCAGTCCCAGGGTGATAAAAATGTTCTAAAATTGTGGTGGTTGCAAAACTCTGTGAATACACTAAAAATGACCTAATATTTCCTTTCAATGCAAGAAACCACGTTTGCTCTCTGGTAGGAAAGTATCCTTCAGTGGGTTATGGTCGCACTGCAATCCCTTCTCTTTCATTTCTCCATCCTGTTGGGATCTGGGGCATGTATTCACTTGTGCCTGGCATGTTTTTCAAGCCTCCAGTGTCAGGATTCAAACCACATTTGGCCAAGTTAGAGTTGACTCCTTTAAACACTAGGCAACAGTGTTTAAAGGAACATTAAATTTACAATGTAAATGAATAATATGTTATATGAGTTATATTTAAATAAAGGTTTTATTTAAAACAAAATAGAGGTAGCCTGTGGGCGGCTGTGGTGGTGGCTTCCAAGATGGTGACCAAGAATTTCCGAGTCAGTGATGGGGACTTGATTTGCCCTGACAAGAAATGTGGAAATGTAAACTTTGCAGGACCAGCAGTTAGCGTAATGGCTATGTCAATGAACTACCACGTAGTCGACCGTGGTTCAAGTCCTGGACCCACTGACTTGAACTCATGCTGGGCACGTGTGTGTGTGCATGCCGAATGGAGGAGAAGGGACTGTAGCGTGGCCATCCCCCTGGGGGGTGATTTCTCGCTTTCTGTCTCTCTATCTCTCTCTGTCTCTCTGGCGAGCACACGCGCCCTGTAGCAAAAAACCTCTTCCCCCCGCCCCCCCCAAAAAAAGAAATGTAAACTTTGCTAGAAGAACCAGCTATAATCTATGTGGTAGGGAGAAAACAACTGAGACCAAGATGATGAAAGCTGGGGACATTGAAATAGGAAAGACATGCAGAAAAAAACGAGGCCTGTTCAGTGCTAATGACTGGCAGTGTAAAACTTGCAGTAATGTGATTTGGGCCAGAAGATTAGAGTGTAACATGTGTAATACTCCAAAGTATGCTAAATTAGAAAAAAGAACAGGATATGGTAGTGGTTTTAATGAAAGAGAAACTGTTGAGTACATAGAAAAGAATCTGATGGTGAATATGAGTTTGGACGGAAAAAGAAAAAACACAGAGGGAAGGAAGTTGGTCTTGTATTTATATTAAAGGAAGTTTAAGATAAAGAATCTGAAGGCTGGGGCCAACAGGTGGTGTGGTGATTAAGGGCACTGCACTCCCAGGATTCAAACCACAGTTGGCCAAGTGAGAGCTGGCTCCTTTAAATACTAGGCAATAGTGTTTAAAGGAGCACTAAATTTAGAATGTAATGAATAAATTATATATTATAATGTCCTTCTCTGGTCAAATTAAAATAAATAAATAAAATAAATAAATTTATAAAATAATTCTAAAATAAAGAATCTGAGAATGAAGAAAAGGATGAGGATGAAGATCTTCCTAAATATAAATTAGATGAGGATAAGGATAAAGATGTATAGTATATATCTGGCATGTAAGTACATAAAGTATATAGAGTATAATCTTGATGCCAGTGAAGCAGAAGATAGTAAAAAAAAAAAAAAGAAAGAAAGAAAGAAATAATAGATGAAGTCACTCGAAGTCTTGATCTTCACATTCATGATCTTCATCACGCTCATCCTCCCCCCCAAGGTCAAGATCTAGGTCCAGGTCTCATTCAAGAAGTTCTTCCAGCTCTCAGTCAAGACCTCATTCCAGTTCCAGAGGATGTTTAAGATCTCATGGGTCGAAATCATGCTCCAGATCCCACAGGGGCTCTTCTTCCCCATGAAAAAGATCTTATTTCAGTTCTTCATCTTCTGAGAGGAACAGAAAGAGAAGTCATTCTAGATCTTCTTTGTCTGGTGATTAAAAAAAAAAGATGAACAAGATCATGATCACCTGAAAGTCAGGTGATTGTAAAGACACTGAACAACCCTGAGCCCAGGGCCAACCCCTATAGAACACCACTACTTTACCCAGGCACCACCGATCATCTTCTGGATCATCCCATTCTGGTTCCCATTCAGATTCAAAGAAGAATTAAACATGTACATCTTTAAAAAAATCCAGTACAGTGCATGAAATATGTTTTTTAAGAAGTTGGTGTCTTACTTGGTCAGAAGTCCTAAATCTGCTAGTAGAAGTGCACGCCTTTCACTGCTCTTCAGTACAAAACAGCTGTGGTTATTTGTGAAATTAGAGGTAAATAGCATTTTGGGGCTAGCAGATGATGTGGTGGTTAAGGTGGTGGGTATTCCCACATGGCTGACCACGGTTCAAGTCCTGGACCTGGCGGCTTGCTTTCTCACTTTCCCTCTCTCTCTCTCTCTGTGTCTCTCTCTAATCAAATGAAAATAAATGACTGAATAAATAATTCTTTTTAAAATATTTATTTATTTATTTCCACTGGTTGTTATTATTATTTTTTAATTTGACCAGGAAGAGGTAGAGAGAGAAAGGGAAAGCGAGAAAGCAAGCCGCCAGGTTCAGAACTTAAGCTGTGGTCGGCCACGTGGGAAATCACTACCTTTAACCACTACTCCACTTGCTGGCTCGAATAAGTAATTCTTAAAGAAAGAAAAAAAAGAAGTAAATAGCATTTTAAGCCATAATGTTCCAGAATAGATCAATATGTTTACTGTTTATTATTTACAACCATTTCAGCTGTAACAAAATACTTTATTTCAGATCAATTGAAAATTTTATTTCAAAATACTAATTTCAAACTCCTGTTTTTCTCATTTCCAAACTTATTCTGTATGTTGGCTAAGGCAAAATTACCTAGGATTCCTTAAACTTTGGGGTATGGAAGCAAGATTGATACACTAGTTGGAAACAGCCTGTTCATGTCAGTCTTGAAAAAGAAGAAACCTGTTTATTGTTGTTAACCTATGTCAAAATGATTCTTTCTTTAACAAGTTAAAATAATTTATAAAACAGCCAACTGAAAATGACTTTATTTGCTAAGGGTGCCTTAGAACCATTGTCTCTCCTTTATCGAACTCTAATTTTTTTGTACTGCACATTTAATGTAAAAGAATCTTGTTAACTGCAGAAAGAGAAAGGTATTACTCATTTTCCTTTCCAACATTTAGGGCAAGAAAGAAAATCTAGCAATTTATCTCTTCTCAACTGATAGTTGCCCACATGGTAAGAAAAACATCTTTTTTTTTTTTTTTTTGGTTCGCCAGAAAAAAAGAGAGACAGAAATCAGCCCCTCAGGGGGGATGGCCACACCACAATCCCTTCTCCATTCTCTTCTCAGAATCTTGGACACGCACACATGCCCGGCGTGAGTTTAAGCCACCAGGTCTGGGACTCAAACTGCGGTCAACTACATGGGAGTCCAGCGACATAGCCATCACACCATCTGTTGGTCCTAATAATCATCTTTTTTTTTTTCAAAATACTTTCTTT